GTGCTCAACCAAATATGTTGAAGTTTTGCCAGGCTGTTTGCGAATGCACAACAATTAACCCACATAATGCACATAATGATAGAAAATCTGGTGTCACGGCCCCTCCCAGGCGCGTAAAAATTTTTTTCGGGGGTGGGGGGCACCGCCTTGATTTCGGGAGGGGCACCCTATTAAAATGGCCATTTTTCACTCTTTATTCCATGGTGAAAAAAAATTTGGGGGGTGGGGGGGGCCAGTGTGCCACCCCCTGGCTAGGCCGGCCCCTGGCCCCTCCGAATCAGTAATGGGGTGATTAAAGGGGACAAAATAAGAAGTACAGGCTCTGACCAAGAAGAAAAAGCAGAATTATGAAAATATCACTGTCGATCAAGAAGGCATAAAAAGCCACCCTGCCTACCGAGCTTTTCAACAACTGAAACTGCTTCAGTGAAGGGTTGCATATGAATATTAAGTACACTGTTGCTTGATATGCACTATTAAATCTCGATTACAGTAACTATATGCTATGTTCTAGTGTGTTGCTAATGCAGCCTGCATGCTTGACACATGACCATGCCTCAGTGATTGGGCATATCACCATGACTGGCTCATCATGCGCTCCTTACTTTTTTCAAAAAACATCATTTGGCTTTCAATTTGTAGCGTTTCTTTCCGCCCTTCTATTCAAGCACCAAGACCTCGGACTTTTTCCTCAATAGTCTGTATTCTTTGAAACTTAAAAGTGCAAGGTGTGGCAATTTCCTTTTTTCTGTTCATACAGCTGCACTCTATTCTTTCTCATTGTTTTAAATTGGTCTATGATATGCCACGTTCTTTACTTTCTTTCATGCAGTCATTTGAACATAATGCCACAGAGATTGCTCCTACTAATTATTTTACAAAGAGGATCAACGGGACGCTATGTGAACGTCTACAGTGCCTCGCAACCAACGAGACGCTATGTGGGCGTCTGCAGTGCCTCGCAACCAACGAGACGCTATGTGGGCGTCTACTGTGCCTCGCGCCTACTCATGCATTTTGAGCAGAGCAGCGGATGCCTCTGGTGTACGAGCACGAGCCGGGAAGACTGACGGAGTAGTTGTTCAGAAAGGGACACGTAGGCGGAACGCTTTTAGCAGACTCTTCTTTGTGACATAGCTACTTTTCTGGGCACAAGTTCGCCCTCAATAAATCATTGTGTGTGTTCCCCCTCTTGTATTACGTGACATTCTGGTGGAGGTGCGGGGTATGATTGGAAGTCCCCTTAGCGCAAGAGAAAGAAGCCCTGACCCCCAGCGATTGGAGCCTGGCGAACTTACTCCAGTACACCAGCGTTCAAGTCGCCACCTCCGAGGTGAGTCACCTGAATTCAGACCACTCCTCACTACTCCAGCAACACGGGCAGCGGTAACCTCCAATTTCAGAGAAATGGCCAATGCAGCTTCAACGTCTGAACTCATCGTGTCTCCGCCGTGCTTACCTGAACCCTTCCACGATGACGCGCACGAAGATGTGGAAGACTGGCTGGAGCATTTCGAGCGGGTCACAAGGACCGATGCCTGGGATGAGGCGAGGAAATTGGGCCACGTGTACTTTGTGTTGGAGGATGGAGCGAGAATATGGTTTGAGAACCACGAAGGGGCTATAGCGACGTGGGATGACTTTCGGCAGCAGTTGCTTGCTGCGTATGCCAGCACGGATCGCCGGGAAAGGGCAGAAAATGCCCTTCAATCAAGAAACCAATGCACGAACGAGAGTGTCAGCATGTATATTAAGAACACGTCCCGCCTCTTCAAACGAGCTGATCCAAACATGACTGAAGAAAAGAAAGTGCGCCATTTGATGCATGGAGTCAAACAGGACTTATTTGCAGGCCTGGTTCGCAATCCTCCTCGTACCGTTGCTGAATTCCGCACAGAAGCCACGACCATAGAAAGAGCACTGCAGCAGCGTGCCCGTCACTACAATCGGGATGCCGGTAGTGAGCCCGCGGGCGTCCTTTTGGCACAGCGAGACAGCAGCAACGAGACGCTGAGGGAGCTGGTGCGTTCCATCGTTAAAGAGGAGCTTCGTAACTTTCTCCAACCGCAAGTCATGCCGACGGTTTCATTCCTCACATCCATCATCCGTCATGAAGTTCGGCACGCCATTTTTCAGCCGGAACCAAAAGTGCAACCTCTTCGACTTCAACAGCCCCTGCAGGAACGCCATGTATCAACGTACGCAGACGCTTTACGCCAACCTGCCGTTCACAATGCCTCGTTCGCGACTCCCGGTGCCCGCCAGTCAGCTTCGACCAGCCCACTTTTTCTTGGAGAGCAGAGACCACGGAAAAGCGATGTGTGGCGCACACCTGACAGGACACCGCTCTGTTTTCACAGCGGAGAAGCTGGACATCTTTACCGACACTGTCCATACCGAAGGGTCGGTCTGCGTGGGTTTTCTGTGTATGCTCCATGCCCGCGTAATGGTGAAAGGCCTATAGAAATAGAGGAGTACCTTTCAAGGCACGGATCTCCAGCCACTAGCTTCGAGCACCAGCCAAGGTCACCAGCACCAAATCGTTATCGATCGCCAAGTCCGCGACGTTCAAGTTCACCACCAAATTCACGAAACCATCGGTCAACGAGCCCGCGTCAGGAAGACTGAAGCCAGCGACCTGGGGAGGCAAGGCCGCTGATGTCCGACAGAGCAAAGATCCTCCGTCAAGACCCCAGCGAAGCAGCGACGAACAGAAAATGACGACGAATTTAAGTAAAGAAAAAATTTCTTCAGACTTGCGTGTTACTATGGACGGGCGGGAATTTAACGTATTGGTTGATACTAGTGCCGATTATTCAGTCGTAAGCTATGCAATCGCAAAAGATTTGAAGAAAGTTTTGACGATTTGGAGAGGACCAAAAATACGCACGGCTGGGGGCCATCTGATAACACCTCTGGGAAGATGCACCGCCAGGATCGGCATTCAGGGTGCCACTTATGTCGCTGATTTCCTAGTTCTGCCAGAATGCTCGAGAGACGTAATAATCGAAATGGATTTCCTGTTAGATAACGGCGCCATAATAAACCTGCAGAATTCTAGTATTTCTTTTTCGACAAAGCTGGCCATAGACGAGGAGACGGGAAGTTCTGCGTTGCGTGTAATCGATGGCGACGTAACCGTGCCACCGCGATGCAGCGTCCTGGTTGGCGTAAGGAATGACGCATTCGTCGACTCTGAAGGAATAGCGGATGGCAATGTTGAGCTGCTGCTAAAGAAAGGTATTTGCATAGCTCGAGGCATTATTCGCTTACGTGGTGGGCTTGCCAACGTACTGCTCACTAATTTCGGAAATGAAATTCAGCATGTCGCAAAAGACACTGCCATCGCTTTTCTACACAGCTTTACTGAAGTTACCGACTTATGTGCCATTGCGTCAGAGCCGCCTACTTTGGAAACTACGCATGACCTTGGAACATCAGTTTCAATCAGCCGAAGTCTATCGCCAGCCGAGAGGAAAATCCTGGAAGACCTCATAGATGAATTCGCAGATGAATATTACTATTCCTTCCTTTAAGTGTTATGAGGCAGTGTACATTGTGACACTTCCAGTGACCACTGCCAATTCACTTCTTCCCTTTCTGTAAGCAGTTTGTATATATCCAGCACAAAGAATAAAACAATGGTAGTAATAATTAGAGACTTTGCATATTGTACAAAGTGTGCCCCGGTACAATTGCAAACAGAAATATGTGGTTAGTCACAGAAGACGCTTATTAAATAGAACCCGAAGAAACCAGGAAAATATGTCTTAACAGAAGTTACAGTTACAGAGAGATGAAGATGGGTGCAAAATACAAGCCCGAACTAATAATATCAAAGGCAGATGTTCCAGTTAAGCAGCAGTTCCATTTAACATATTTTCACTTACTGAGAGTCTAGTGTATATGAAGAGTGCAACAAAGCAAGCACAGAATGATACCGTGAAGACTATTTTAAAATACAGCCATTATTTGCCTATCAAACAGTGGCCACATCAATCGATGAATGATGGTAATGTGAATGCTCAGCACTAAAAACAGGCATTCTTTCAGACTGCCAATAAATCTTATGAACCCAAATAAACTTACAAAAAAGCGTTTGAATGCTAATCGAATCGTTGCAGCCTTCCATGGGAAATCCCGAGTACCTCCTCACGTCTGAAAAATTTCTCAGGTAACAGGGGTCAGTGAATGGGCACCATCTCCAAATGTGAGAGAAAAGTGTGCAGTTACAGTAGACTCTCGATAATTCAAACCCTGATAATTAAAACAAAACTGAATTTTTTGGTTGGCCCTCTGTTATGAAATTTTTAAAAGGCTAGTGATAGCAAAGTATTTATTTACTTTTATGCTTCAATGTATTTAAAAGCCTCTTAATTCAAACAACATCATTCGGTTAATTGATACTTTTTGCAGTTCTATACCAGAAAATATCTGCTGCTTTCCCACTACTATTTGAAAATTTACGTGCTTATATAATCCTAACAGCCTAAAAATGAAAAGTAAGCACCTCAGGCCTTCAAAAAAAAAAGGCTTTGCAAGTAAACAAATGTTTGAAATGAACTTAACTGGTATAGAGACCGTTGTGCTGAAGGCACACCTGTAGCAATGTAGCAATGAAGCAGTTGGCAATTCAGGATTTCTTTAAAAGGTCTGATCAGCAGCAAATGGCCAATAAGCTTGTGGACTTTACACTTCTGCTTTCTGTTCCCTGTGTGCAGTTAGGGTAGAAAAAAACACTTATAATTTTTTTAAATGTGATAAACTCAATGCCTAATCATAATGTGTGGGGTCACCTCACCCAGAGTCATCTATCTGAGAACTTCTGATAATTCAAACTTCTTGATAATTCTAACAAATTTCAGAGGTCCCTTTGAGTTTGAATTAACGGGAGTCGATTGTATTTGTATGTTTCTTCCAGAATATCGTAAATAGATGGGACAAACTGACGTGCTTTAATGCATTAGACATTTAAGTACTAACACGTGACAGGCACTCACCTGGTCTTCCATAAGAGAAATTAATGGCGACACTACCAATGTTATGCATTTGGATTTTTGTGCATACAGATATGCTGGAAGTTGGTAGCACAAAGACTTTCCTGAGCCAGTTGAAGACACCAACAGTGTTGACAAACCTTAAATGAGAAAGAGGACAGTACACAACTTATGACATTTGTGCTCATGATAAACTCATTGTATAAACCTTACCGCATAGAATTCTTTTAATTGTTGCTTCTTGCCCAGGCCTGAACTCAGAAAAGCCCATCTTATGCAGTGCTTCAAAAACGAATTCTGGTGTGTCTGTAAAATAGGAAAATAATATTAACACTTAATGAATTTCACTGTCTCGAAACCACGATATGATTATGAGAAACGCCGTAGTGGAGGGCTCCAGAAATTTCGACTACTTGTGGTTAATAATAATATATGGGGTTTTACGTCCCAAGACTACGATATGATTATGAGAGACACCCTAGTGCAGGGTTCAAGAAATTTCGACCACCTGGTGTTCTTTAATGTGCAGTGACATAGCACAATACACGGGCCTCTACCATTTTGCATTTATTGAAATGCAACTGCCACGGCCAGGATAAAACCCACGACCTTCAAATCAGCAGCTGAGCACCCTGGCCACTGCCCCACCGAAGTGGACGATCACCACTTGGGGCGCTCTTCAACGGGCACCTGAATCTAAGTATGCGGCTCTATCGAAAATGTGGCTGCGGTGGCGTAAAATACGAAAAGAGTAATAGCAGCTTAACATTCCTAGTCACAATGAAAGAAAAAAAAAAGGGCAAAAAGTGCTAGGTTAAAATAATTTCTAAAGAATGCCAGAATGAGCCCGCATTATCTTTGTGGTTGAATGTGTTCCAAAAGCTCTGTGAACTGTAACTAACAAAAAAGTCAAGCAGCTAAAAGAATGTCCCTGGACCAAACCAGTGGTGTTCCCTAAACCGTATTTTAATCTCTCTTTAGAGCCCACTTGGAAAACGCACCACATTCCTGCAGGATGCACCAGTTGGAGTGTTCGAACTTAGCGGACACAAAAATAAATAAACCAACATTATACTAGAAAAACATGTTTAGAAAGTTGCTTTTTCGGTGCTGACGCATTAAATGTGGCTTTCGGATTACTCAAAGCGTATCAGTATTCCTCATGGAGAAATTTGCTACAACTGAGCGGTTTCAGAGTCTTGAGCGAAATAGCCAATTACAGGTGTTGGCATTAGTTCTGTCATCTGACTTTATTCACCTAATTCACTGCTTGTGGATCATGGATGACATACTGATCTATGCACTACTCCACACTGTCCGTATTGAACAAACTGTCACAACTGATGACAGCAACACCGATTGCACTTCAGTGATATTCTGCCACAAATCAGCATGCAAGTCGTCGTTACATCTGATCTTCACTAGTATAATCTCTCCTGGCCCAGAAAAGAACCCAGCTTGGTTGAAAGAGTTCTATACATTGCACAGTAACCGCCACCAAAACCCATTATTTCCCCAGCTGTAAATGCCATTTATAGTGACATATTAGCACCCGAGCGATTACGGTAAACTCTCAGTAAATGTAAATCTGTTATAAAAGAACTATTGCTTAAACGGAACTATTGCCTTTGCAATGCTTGGTTTCGGGCTTGTATTCTGCACCCATGTTCACCTCTCAGTAAACAGAACTCCTGTTAAATGGAACATATTTTCCCGGTCTCTTCAGGTTCCGTTTACTGAGAGTCTACTGTATATTAGTAATTTTGCAGAGTTGAGCACAGTTGCAGGTATACAGGGAAAGTGGAACTTTCATGGGACACTGAGAGGTACTTACACTGTCTATCTTAAGAAACTAAGAGCAGTGACTTCTTTTAAATGCAAGAAGTGCTCCAAATACCACACAAAAATTGTGACTGTCATAATATATTGATAACAACAGAGCATTCATCATAACTGTTATTGTTATATTTAAGTTCGGCTATACTCATGACACACAAAATTAATAGAAGCAATGTAGAATGCAGCAAGCCCAATTGGAGAAAAATCTTACTTCGAACACAGTCATTGATGTTAAGAAATTTTTAAAAGGCTAGTGATAGCAAAGTATTTATTTCCTACTTTTATGCTTTAGTGAGTACGCCTGTGTCTTAAAACCACAAAATAAAATTCTAAATGCTTTAATGTAATGTATAATTAATGCTAGCATTATTATTATGATCAACTCTAGTGTAATTTCAATGTGTGCACTCAAACTCATAAGAAACTAGCATTACATTTTAGTAGTCACAACTGACCGAGTATACAATCACATGTGCTTATAATCCAGATAATTCAGCAAAGCTGAGGAGTGTGTTTGTTGAAAAGCGAATAGGAATGCTGAGCAGTCTTTTAGTTGAATGGGCACTGTAACATCATATACCGATGCCCTATTGCAAGAGCAGGGTTCATGCGGGTCCTTGAAACCCTTGATCTTTCAAGATCAAGTAATTGAAAGTGCTGAAATTTTTCAAATAATTGAAAATCCTTAAATTTCTTTTTTTATTTTTAATAAACATTGTCGCACATTTCACAGCACATTGTTTGTAATGACTTAAATGTAGCAGGTGGCATATGTAATGTACCCATCACAAAAGAAACCAACACTATGCATTTTGGAAACATTGAAAAGGCAGAAGCAGGAAGATAAGACACAGAAAGTGATATGTCGCATTGAGAAGAAGGTCAAAATGTTAACAAATGAGAAACCCGAAGCTGCTCTTAAAGAATTAACAACTACAGCAGATTCATATGCAGAAAAGGCAAAGGCAACTAACGACTTGATATGGATCATCAAGTCAAAACACCCTTAGAAAGACTGCCAAGACAAAGCAGCAAGAGACAGTGGACATTCATATGAAAGTTAAGGAAAAGTGATTCCTGGAATATTGAAATTGAGGAATACTGAGTGATTATTCATGCAGCTACAAGGAACTGTGATCAAAAGTTCTTTAGAAAGAAAATGTAATTGCAGCCATGTGTTTGATGTGTGCTCCAGCAACGTTACCCTTTTTCGATGAATTCTAATTATTTCAAGCCTCCATCTCCTGAAATTTGTTAACTGGGTTTCTGAGAGACAATGCAGTCCTTGAAAGTTTACAGACATGGCCTTGAAAGCCCTTGAAAACTGTTGAATTTTTAAAATGTAAGCGAGCATGAACCCTGTGTGAGAGTGTGTCAGATGCGAGCAGTAGAACCAGGGAGCTATGAGTGAGTAGCACAGCAAGAAAGAAGCCTCGACACTAACTAATTATGGTCCACACAAGAATTTCTATTTCTGATTTCAAAAATACTTGTGAAACGACCAAAACCTCAGACTGAGCCAGAGAAGCTACTAAGTCCATGATATAGGTGCTAATGTCACGAGGTTCTGCAGACTCATGAGTAAACTTCCACAAAATAATACTACAATAAATTATGTTGTAGGCACTACTCACTAATAATACTCAACCAGATGTATGTTTGCACACAAAAGATTTAACAATACCAATATATAAAGTTTGAAATTTTATAGTCAGTGGTCCTTGAAGCAAGATAAAAAAGTGACAAAATGAGAAATCTAGTCTCACAGAGGAACTCCTTATTGGGTGTGTTAGTGCATGTCTATGTTAGAAAAAGTTGCAAACATAAATAGACGAGCACAGCAAAAACAAAGTAAATGTTTGATGCCAGTCAATATCACACACATCATAGCAGGTGTACTGCGAGTGCATTAACAGGGATAAAACACAGAAGCATGTAAATATGGTTTAAAAAGCAAAGTACTATGGAATTATGAACAAAGTCAATAGGAGTTAAGAGTTATCGCAAGTAACAACGAAGCCACTGCTCACCGAGGATGATGCCAGGACTTCTAGCAAGGCTGTTATTGTATCTGCTCTAATCAAATGTTAAAAGGTCCGGAAATGAAGATGCAATACTATACTCTGTTTCAACATTGTGATTCAGCACTACCAAAACTACGGGGTGTAAGAAAGTCGCAGGCTTGCACACGACACATAGGCACAAATATAGTAAGTGCCTTAAAATTCACTGGGTTGACTAAAATTGGCGTTAGTTTGATGTGTGTTACACCACATTGATATGTTATACGTTTATTCTTCGCATTTACTCTATACGCATTAAATAATTTGTATCGTGTACCGCCGGCAACACTGTTTACAGATTAATGCAGCCGAACCCATATAAAAGCGACCACCTGCTTCATTCCGAACTTGCTGTTGCTAGATGCCCACTGCGCTGACAGCAGCAAATAAATGGTGAAATAAGCCCTCGATTTGTTCCATCTTACTTTGAGGATAAAGCATAAGGTACGTTTTCTCGTTATTACTGAAATATGTTGCTTGCTTAGCCACCCCTGCTAAGCCTAACTCGCTGAGGCAGTGCTTGGGCTGCGTCGCCAGACAAAGAACGAATGCTGCATCTCCAGCGGACATGTGACCTGGCACAGCATTTTGTGCGCATCAGATCTTTCTCCGGTGGAAACAAAGAGGAGAGAAAAGAAGCGTTGCAGCAGGAGATGCAAAGAAATGCGTCAACGAAGAAGCAGTCATAAGAGAGCCACGAATAGTGTCGGAGAGAAATAGCCACAAAGTGAAGTTATGCGCTGCCCCGCCGCGGTGGTCTAGTGGCTAAGGTACTCGGCTGCTGACCCGCAGGGCGCGGGTTCGAATCCCGGCTGCGGCGGCTGCATTTCCGATGGAGGCGGAAATGTTGTAGGCTCGTGTGCTCAGATTTGGGTGCACAATAAAGAACCCCAGGTGGTCTAAATTTCCGGAGCCCTTCACTACGGCGTCTCTCATAATCATATAGTGGTTTTGGGACGTTAAACCCCACATATCAATCAATCAATCAAGTTATGCGCTGGCATGAGCGCCTACCGATCTTCAGTAGAGCAAGAAATTCACGCTTCAAGTTCTTGGTGTGATTGCTTGCTTCACAGTTTTACTGTATGTTTCAGTTAATAAACCAGCCAAATTATCTGCAATGAGAATGTATAGACAATTCGGCGAGCAGACGCCATGAAGATGGTGAACAGACGACATGGCGCGGATGAATACATGTGGAGGGGCTAATCGTCTTCCCTATTGGCTGAGGGGCCCTGTAGCCCCCACAGTGCTGAAGAGAACTTCTGAAACAGAGTATAGTGCTGCCCATGCACCAAAACAGAAATGCCTTTTTCAAAGAGAGGCACAAATGCAAGTGTTCACCTGGAAGTTTTCCATCAAGGTCAGCTTTTAGAAGCGGCTGGACATTTATCCTTTCATTGCCTTTCATGTCCGCAGCATGGTCACGAATTTCACTTTCATTCATAATAGTTCCTGCCTCGTCTTGTTGTTCTGTGGAGAAGACATTTTGTTATAGAGACTGTAAAGCTGTGGACGTTTAGATGAAAGTTGACCCAGGGCTCCCCTACACAGGAATTTACAGAAGAATGAGAGATCATAAAATTCATGCAAAAGAAATACATACGAGAACTATCTTTTGAAGAAAAAACCTTTGTCGAGGTTTCCGAGATGTTGCTGCTCTTGATACCACGTGCCATCTGAGCAGCTTCCTCCAATGTAGGCAAATGGGCAACTTCTGGCTCTTCAGGGATTTTAAGCTTACCTATAATTAACAAATAAAGGGACAAATAGTTATGGTTAAGGTAGCACACCTTAGCTTCGGATGATTTTGAAAAAATATACACAGGAAACATACTTGAGTTTGTAGAACAAGAACGTGCCCAATGACCAAGTTCTCCACATTTAAAGCATTTTGATGTGGCACTTTTGCAGGACGTTCTCTCAGAAAAGGTGTGTTTCTTTTTCCACTCTTTGTATTTCAACTGCCGAACATTCACTTTGTGATGACCACGAGAAAATTTCTTTTTCTTGAGGTTGATTCGTATAAAGTTCTCATTAAAGCTTTTGCTGCATTTCTGCCTGAAAAGAATACTTTTGTTATATGAAAGCATGCATCATCGGTCATCACACCTACCAGTCGCAAACTTTTCAACAAGAATATATGTATAATTACCTTTTTGTGCTAATGTTGCCACTTTTCCTTGATTTTATCACAGAACTCTCTAATTGCACATCATCTGGATCTCCCGTTGATGGCTTGTTCAACTCTTCTTTCACTTCAGAGTGTTCATCACAACTAGAATCTTTCAACGTCTTCAGTCTTTTCACCACCTTTCGTTTTTTCACAGACAGTTCTTCTTCGTTTACTTCTGACTGCTCATCACAACCAGAACCTTTCAAAGTTTTTCGTCTTTTCACTGTCTCTTGTCTCATTCCAGGAAGTTGGTGAGTGCCTGCAGTGTTTGCTTTTATTTGCCGTTTTCTCTTGGGCTTTTTAGAGCTTTGTTGTGGTACCACTTTGACCTCAGATCTGTTGCATGCGTTTTCGAGAGGCTCCTTTTTCAACTCACGTGCAGCCTGTGATGACAGACATTTGCTGCTTTTTTCAATCTTATTTAATTGAATTTCTTCATTTGAGCAAGATACAGGGTACTGTGTTTTCAGCAAGTGACAAGTACTATGACTTTCATAATGTGCATCTCCTTTTAGTTTACTCAATTCTGAGCTAGCAGAATTGTCTTGCAGAGAAGTAACCTTTGAAAGTGATGTTGAAGAATGAGGCATCTGTGGCTGCTGTGCAATGGGAGTTTGAGGAGGTGTGGGTGTGAGAAAAACATCTCCTATCGTGTCTACAGATGAATAGCTGATTGAACAAGTCTTGCTGACTTTGGTTTTTACATATACTTTTTCACTCATTTTGCCACTGCATTTGTTTGGCCTACATGTAAAAGGAAGTTGTGACGATGATGGTGGGGGAGTGAAGAACACTTCATCATCATCAGTGACACTATTTCTTGAAAGCCATGACTCATCAAGGCTATGTGCATAGTAAAGCATACGTGAAGTTGGCCGCATTTTGCATGGAGAAATGGATATCTTGTCTTCATTTGCAGCGGCAACCTCTTCATTTAGAATGCACTCCTTAGCTTCCACATGTTGGCAGTCAGTTTTAGAAAATACTGCAGAGTTTTTTGTGAGCTCATCCGATCTCGGAAACACAGGTTCGGCTTGCACACTTTTAGATCGACATCCATGGAAATTGCGTGTTAGTTTAGATGGGTCCTGAAATATGAAAAAAAGAAAGCGAGATACTCTGGTTTATGAAAGAAATTCTCATGTATGAAGACTTACTTCACAATTAAATGATGACAGCAGCTTTTCACGAATCTTGCTCGTGTAAACACTTGAGGAGCTTGGCCGTGCTTTGTTTCGCTTTTCTGTAGGCTTTTTGTTCAATGAAACATCCCATACCCCATCATCCGAGGTCACCTATAATTACATGCAAGGCGAATACACTTCTTAAGTAGGGCATTCTTAACTTGTGCACACTATGAACTATGGCTTACCGATGAGCTCAGTTTTGAGATACTTTTTTTGATCTTCCAATACTGTGAATAGGCTTCTGAAATTTGGAGCGAAAATTCACATGAAGAGGACATAAGTGTTGCCTTAAGGAAGTACGTTGAGAATACAGTTGCCATATGCATTGTGAAATTGCAAACAGAGCTTTAAGGACATCATTGCGTATGTAAAGAGAGAACGAACGCAATCATTCAGTCTACCCAGACTTCAAGCAGGCGTCACTTTATGAACAGTCATGCAAACGTTTACTCTTTGTCTCGTAATTAATAGAAAGAAGACGCACCCGATATACTTGCTGGCGCATCCTTTATGTCAGCCTGGAACAAGAAAAAGCGAACAAACGTTTATGCTTACTTCTAATGAAACTCGCAACTTATCGTTAATGGAACACGTAACTCAAAAAATACCAACAGCTGTAGGTTTTCTGGCCTTTTCAATGCTGAATGTCTTTTCCCATTCCTTGATCACAAGTTTAAGGCGTTGCAGATCTTGATTCAAGTCCATTTCCTCAAGGATACGACATCAATAGATGTGACAGCTTAATTTTGGCATAATAAGCGATGCAGTAGCCTTTCCTCTATTGCTGCAGTTTCGCGGCAAAAAAAGGAACCTTAAGTCTAAGCTTGGCTTGACTTGACCTTGCACCGACAGCGTTATTTCAATTTTCTATTTTTGTTGATGCCACAGAATAGAGTCACCAGACTGCCCTATTACAGACCACCTTTATTGTTACCTCTGTGTTTTTATTTTAAGTTTGATTTATGGTTTCAAGTTAATAAATCGCAAAATTTTTGCAGAGTGTAAGTGGTTTCGTTTCTGAGGTCCTAGTGGCAGTGTTTGATGCTTGTTGCTTTTTCTCATTTTTTTCCATCCTTTTTGATCAGCTTTAGTGGCGCTTGGTGTGGTGTACTAGTGTCCCGGGCGTATATATTGGGGAATGCGAAGTTAGCGCTGTCGTGTAGTGTACTGTTCATCTGAGAGAAGTGAGTGAACTATGCGAGTGAAGGTGTTTGCATGCAGTAATTGAACACACTGAATGGGCGTGTCTTGTTGTCGTCGTCTTCTATGTATGACATCCTGCATTTTCGTGAGATTGTGGTGTTTGGGGGTCTCGGCTTTTCCTAAACGCGAGTGAAAAGATGAATTTATGCATTATACTCTCAGAATTGAAAATGTGTAGTAGTGCTAATTTTATTTTGTTACAAAAAAAGAAGAAGATTCGAGCGCGTGGTGCCAACGTTACTGGATGGAGCCCAGTAACGTTGGTGGTGCCTGGAATGTACTGCAGCCAGCTCGTGCATATCTCGAGAGCAGAGATCTCGAGCTGTCGAACGCGAAAGACGTGGCACCTTCAATTTCTGGACGTTCTCGAAGCTCTCTTAGCTCATGCGACCCTGCTTGAAGAAGAGATTAATGGAGTACCGGGCGAAAAGAGCGGCGGGGAATGGATGCGACCTCCGGGACCTTACGTAATATAAAACTTTGTCTTTATTCGCATGGAGTGTTGTCGGAATATCGCCATTTAAGTTCACCCGTCAATAGCCGCGAGCTAGTTTCGCTGAAAAATTTATCACTGCCACTTCAGTAGCCTGGCAAAAACTGCTGACGGCCCTATCGCTTGCATTAACGCTTTAGTACTTTTTACGCGCCATCAGCCATTCCCGCCGGCGTACTATGTAGTTCATCTCATTTTGCAGCATTGCAAACAGCTTATGCCCTCATGTACCACGAGTTGCTGAGATATTTAAGACAGAACTTTGTTTCGACAAGTGGACGACTTGTTCAAATGGTGACTCCAGCGACACTCCTTGTTTGATTTCTCGACATAATTTTCAGAGTTATTTCAGTGTTCGAGTGGTCAGAATGGCCCAAAAGCGTTGAATTATCGTTTCAGGTGTACAGTGTGTGCTGGTATATTGTTGATGAGGACCGAAATTTTCTTTCTTACAGCTCTAACCATGCGCGATACGAACAGAGATCATTTCAAATGCTCTTGACGCAAACTCACATTTGCCACTAGTGCTTAGAGAAATTGGAGGCAACAATTACTTTGAAAGGTGTGGATATAACCAAGCTGCTAGCTTCCATGTCATAAGCGAAGCTGATTCTCAGCCTAATATGTTTGTTCATAGTGGCTCGTTTGGACTTATACTTAAACAAGATTTCTGAAGCAATTACTGCTGCCTTCACATTACTGTGGACTGAACTGTGCTAGCCTGCTCATATTTATGCTTGCTATAGGCTCCACACTGTCCAATAACAGAGGGGGGCTACATAGCTCTTGGTCAAGGTCACAGGACTATCACAGGCAGCTAGAGGCACAAAGAAAATAAGATTCATGCATGCGTCCCCCCTATTGCTAGGCCAGTGTGCCCACTCATTCAGTGGAAGACGTATGCATCGCGTTGTCGTCTTCCTCGGGCCTTACTCAATGTTGCATTTTTTTAACCACTAGGCTGTGTGTTTCGTTCCCGCAGTGTTATGAAAACTCCACTGCACAGTGCCTATATGACATGTGTAAACCTGACAGAATTCTGACATATCATTCTGAAGTGAGAGCAACTTGAGCAAGAGCATACCTGTAATTGAAATATTGATTTCAGACCTTTGAATTATTTTGTGCAATTTTGGCAGTTAGTGTATATACTGACTGCCGAAATTGCTTTTAATGGAGTGTGGTTCCTCAGAGAAAAAAAGCTGCAAGGGTTGTGACTCCAGAGCCACTCTGGAGCATATGTTATGGGAATGTAGAGGGATTAGTACTCGTAAAAAGTATGCGGCCTTTGCTGACAGCCTTCGCACGCGCTGAGAAGCCACAATGCTCAGCTCAGTCCTCGAAGACCAAATGTGGGCCATCCAGCAGGCTGAGGAAGCTGCCAGGATTCAAGGACTCCTGGCCGTAACCTAGGCGGGGCCAATCGCCCACCCCATCTACTCGCTGGACTCTGAATAAAGTTCTTTCGTCCTCCTCCTCGGTAAACTGCAGTGTATGTACAGTTTACCCACTGGACAAGAGATTGCTCAAGTGAATAATGCACTGGAAAGTGTTAGCTTCAAGTTCTTGTAATAGCATTGATGCACTGCACAAGCATAGAAGAATAATATGGAGGGCATCTTCGCACTAGCAGTATTAAGTCTGAGGGAGCAGCGGAGCTGGCCAGCGCCAGTTAGCTAAAAAAAGTGGTCACCTCTTTGTAGTGCATTTTCCTTATTGCTCAATTCTCTCTCCGTCCTGCATTTTCAGTATGTGCAAGACCGTTTTGAAGTTCAGTGGACACCTCACTCCAAGCGACCCGCTTCATCACCCGGTTCTCATTATTGGACAACCTAGAAACCTTGCCAAAATCACGTTTGACCATGTCAAGTGCAAGCTTGAGCCCCGCGTTGGAGAGGAGGTATGCTTTTGTATCTGTCTCCTCTAAAAGTTATCCACATTATTCATGCCATTATTCAAAACCAGCTGTGGTGAAATTTCTCTTAAACTAAAATTGTTATAAATGAATAATAGGGTTACCATCCATTGAAAACCAGCTCTTTGGGGGATGAAGGTGGCACTTATGCTGATAGTTAAATTTATGCTCAAGAAAAAAAAAATAAATAAAAAAACACCATGTTTAATTTTTGACAAGCAGTGTCATGTATGGTATTCAGAAGTCAACATAATGTACAGGCGAGCTCAATATATACATGCAACATGGGAGTGCATGGCCTCACGGGTTTAAAGGTTAGGCATGGCTTCAACTTGATTTTATTTAAATAACTAAATATGTTATTTGAGATTGTACCCAAGTGAGAAAACTTGTTTAGTAGTGGAAATAAGGGGTAGCAGAAGCCATACGCTATCTTTGAGCTCGTGAGGCCATGCGCTCTCGTGTTGCAAGTCATATTGGGCGCCACTGTAAGTGTACAAATAAAAAAGGAGGGGGGGGGGGGCTACCAATTATTTTGTTCGTGTCAAAAATACATGCTGTCATTTAATATCTAAAGAGCCAGCTCTCGTTCTTAGGCCGAGATCTTCAGTGTTTTGAAAGAGATGTTTATATTTTCACAGCTTCGAAGGGGAATTTCATCGTTTAAACTCATGAGGCAAGTAGGTAACCTGATGTTAACTTTTTGCAATAATTAGATGATTGGTGTAATTTTAGCGACCAATCACGTAGAATTTTGAAGGGTCACATGATGAAAATTGGTTGAAAATAGCTCGAGAGTTTTGGTGACTGATAAATAATACTCGGTATCTTCAAGTTTGCTGAATTTGCTGTTATAAAATGCAAAAAAACTGCCAGGCCTCCGTGGAACACGCAGCACAGTCACAGCGAAAGCTGGAAGAGCGGCCTTTCAGAGCCTTTTCTTAGTGCTCTTTGGGTAGCTGAAGCACACTTGCTAGGTACCCATTACGCCATAAATAATAATACTTGTGTAGCAGGCCAGCACTCGCTATGCTATTCTTCGTCATTCTTTGGAGAAGTGTGGTATCCGTTATACACTTGCAAAGAATTTTGTGCAAATTTTGTGCAGTGGCTGATGACGATAAAGAATCATGCCTAAAGTGGGTATGTGCCACAGTTAATAGGGCATCAAGAACAAGCTTTAGTACTGTGTTGGAGCATTGGAGCGACCCAATCGTGCACCACATTCGACTCGATCATAAGTGACCGCGAAAGTACGCACGCATCTAACGCACACTCTCAAACAAATGCTGCTTGCCGCAACCGCTGTGCGGAATACCGCGGTTGGGATCAACCCATTCATCAATAACGAAATATGCTTCGAGGGTAGGCAGCTTGCACAGCTGAAGAATTTAGGCAATAAAGCTGTAAAATAGCATGGTGCCTTACGGCGCTCCTGTATTTGTTTATGGCTATGGTAGTGCGGAGCTTCGATGCTTAGTTTTCCAATATTGGCCACTAGCGAAGCTTTGGCACGTTCGTTTGCGGTGCTTTGCATTCGGTCTTGTACCAACGGTTGTCTGAGTAACCTGATTTCTCCTGTATAATCCACCCCTGCATTTAAACTGCACCTCCTACTGCAAGCTGCATTAGGAAAAAAAAGTATCCGTGATTTATTGCAAGGTGGGCTTCATTGCTTTATTTGTGCACTAAGATTCTTGTATAACTCGCACCCCGAGTTTAGCTCCAAACTTTGTATATATTTTGTACATGTTATTCGTGAAAAAATAAGTTCACTCAGTGTGCGACCAGGTACCTCTGAGTTAGAGTTCAATGCAGGCGTTTGGTGCGACCAGAGGACAAGTCATAATCATCAGATCTTACCGAATTTCATGATAAGGTTTATTCGTTGTCATGAAATTTTGCTACAACAAAATTTCATGACGATTTTATTTTGCGTGTCTTGTCAATTGTGTTGCAGCGGCATTTCACTGTATTCGTACTTTCCTAAGACAAATACAGCCAATGTCCGATTGGCAGTGCAATTCAGATTTTTATTGAGCTTCACTCCATCAAGGTCTCGTATTATGGCAAAGCTTCTGTCCAGGCTCTGCTATGGTTGCAAATATATTGACTCAAGAAAGCGCTGGTTCCAACATGGGGATGATAGATGTGGCAGTAGGGGCGGCTCAAATAATTTTGTTCGGGATTCGAAACTTCCGCCGGAAGTCTGAATAATTGGTTGCCAAAAATCTTTACGATTCAAAATTTCTGATGCTCTTATATACTGATGCCTACGAGGCAAATTTGGAACTCTGGACTCAAAGCGAGCACATCCTTGTCCACCACGTCAGTTGGGCTTCCGTAGAAGTTGAAAGAGGAGAGCCTGAGAAATTATTGTCCTTGCTTTTCTCGTGTAAAGTGTTGTCCGCAATGCTTTGGTGGCACCAAATCATGTACAGAGGGGTCCACTTTGCTCGGCACCACCGTCAGCCGGCTGCGGCAACTAGTTCTGCGCAGGAGCAGTGAGCACTGTGGGTGGCGCTCTTTTGTCTTTGCTACAGTTGCGGCCACGCTTCAGCTCATCGCGAAGCCAGCCGTCCCCACGCTCTGAAATTTGTCCACTGGCTGCATGGCCACGCTCGTATGGAAAGCTGTGGCGAAACCGAAAGGAAGTTAGGTTATTTAAACTACTACCTCATTGATATTTTTGGTGGCGAATCATTTTCTTAACGAACGACTTTTTTTAACATATCTATATAATTTTTTTCTGTGGAGCCCATACTTCACGTGTAGCAATGCAGATTAGAGTTGCTGAGGTGGGTAAGGTGTATAAATAATTTTAAGCGCCTTTAACTGTCGCCACCAGAAGGCTTTCTCGAAGAGGGCAATCCTTTATTTAACAAGAAGACGATCGAAAAATGGCAACACAGCTAATGTGTCCGGAGACATTTATCTGATTGTAGATCATTCTCATCATTTTCCTTCTAGCTCGAAAGAAAGCGACTATTTTTAAGATTTTGCGATTTCGGCAGCACTTTGCGGTGATCCGGAGCGCGGTTGCAACTATAGCAGATGACAAATGAGCGCCACTCGCAGCACTCACTGCTCCTGTGGAAACTAGTTTCCGGAACGGGCCGGCAGTGCCGTCACGGGGACAACATGCCCCGCCGCGGTGATCTAGTGGCTAAGGTACTCGGCTGCTGACCTGCAGGCCGTGGGATCGAATCCCGGCTGCGGCGGCTGCATTTCCGATGGAGGCGGAAATGTTGTAGGCCCGTCTGCTCAGATTTGAGTGCACGGTAAAGATCCCCAGGTGGTTGAAATTTTCGGAGCCCTCTACTACGGCGTCTCTCATAATCATATGGTGGTTTTGGGACGTTAAACCCCACATATCTATCTATCTATGGGGACGACATGCGTTTCGGTGTTGTTTTTAACAGTGGACCACTCTGTACATAAATACAATGTGGCCTTTGCATTGTCTCATTTTTGATTAGACTACTGTGAACACCATCCTATCAGTGCTTCATCAACCTAGCCAAAAGAAACATTTTTATGTTGCTATCTCATAAGAATATGCTTAGGAATTCTCTCCCACTTCATTTTCTGCAATTTCAGTTCAAAGTTTTCAAAAAATATTATAGAAATATTCAATTAGATTCACACTTACACATCAATATTTTGAATTTGCTTTGCGTATAAATCTTCTATATGCACACAGCTTTACTTTTTAGAGAGTACACATGTATGTGCACATACAAACGAGTAGTGGCTAGCAGATGACTCGGCATGCCATACACATTACGTAGGGTTCAGCTGGTCTCTGCAGAATTGTGACTTCGCTCTGTCTCACCTGTAAAACTGCTGGAGCAATCTTGGTGAAACCACAGGGTTGTTAGATACGTAAATGTAACCTCTAAACAGTGCCAAAGTAGATAACACATGCACCTGGTGGCTATAGGGGCTATCGCGTAAGTCCGAGCACTTCTGCAAGATTTCTCAGCTTCAGTGAACAAACACAGTGACCTCTGACACTGTCTCCATCTTGTAGGTCAAGCCAAAAAGCCTTGTATTCTAGGTCACGCGTCACTTGTTGCGAGTGGTGATACATACTCTGTTCACTTTTTGTATCAACAGCTATTTTCATGAGCTTTATATAACTTTTCCAGTTGTAATCATTGGGACAATAGCACTTAGGTCATGTGGACAAGAGATAAAAAAAATGGTTTGCAGTCTTTTTTTCTACAACACCTCTACACTATGGTCCCAACAGCTGCTTGTAGCTAACTAGCCTTAAAAGTTCTATTTGTGGCATCCATGTGTATTCAAAACATTAACATTTTTTGTGAAGAATGCTTTACATCCCCACAATTTAAACTAGGCTCTTCTTCGAGGCTCTTGTGTGCTTTAGTGGATCAGTGGCTACGGTGCTCTGCTACTGACCCGAAGGTAGTGTTTGATCCCGGCTGGGGCGGTAGCATTTTAGTGGAGGCAAAATGGTTGAGGCCTGTGTGCTGTGCGATGTCAGTGCATGTTTAAGAACTCCAGATGGTCGAAATTCCTCCACTACAGTATATCTCCACTACAGTATATCTCATAATTATATCATGGTTTTAGGATGTAAAACACCAGATGTTGTTGTTGTTATTATTATTATTATTATTATTATTATTATTATTATTATTATTATTATTATTCTAGATTCTTGTTCACCTGCAACTTATACAATTACAATTTGTATTATCTAATATCAGCAGTAATGTAGCTCTTTGTATGTCATCAGTGATGCAGCATTTATGAGCTGCCTGAGACTTGACATAGAGAGCTACAGACCAATCAGTCTTCTTTCACTATTGTACAAAATATTCAAAAAAATAACTTTGAATAAGATGAGAGCCACACTCAATCAGACGATAGAACAAGTTGGTTTCAGGAAAAGGTACTTTATCATGGATAACATTTATGCATTTAATAAAATTGAGAAAATGCAAAAACCCTTTTATATATCAATCATACTTACAAAATGACATTTAAGTAGGTAGAGATACCAGTGCCTCTAGAGGCATGCATTGACAAAGAGCACTCAAACATAGGTAATTAATAATTATAGGTTGATGTATACAGATTCCACAACTTCGGTGCTCCCTTTTAAGAAAATAGGAAATATCCTCATTGGGAAAGGGGTTTGTCCAGGAGACAGTCTCTACATTGTTGTTCACTGCTTGTCTAGAAGTGTATTTAAATTATTAGACTTGGAAGAAATAGAATAAGCAATAACGAAGAATATCTTCAAAGTTTACGGTTTGCCGGCAGTATTGTACTCTTCAGCCGTAATAGTGGCATACAGTCGAACACCTTTATAAGAGAAACTGATTTAAGAGACAGATGGCTATATAAGAGACACCAGTGTGCCTGCAGTACAATAAAAGTTGATAAGAAAATACATACGAGATACCCTGTTTATAAGAGACATCTCATATAAAAGACAAGAACGGCTGTCCAGAGCATGCCTCTTATAAATGAGTTTAACTGTATTTCAAAAGTTCATTTAGAATTAAACCAAGAATGCATCAAAGTAGGGCTAAAGATGGATATTGAGAAGACATGATGCTAGGTGGTCCAAAGCGAGAGTTTGTGATAGACAGCCACACTTTAGATCAATAAGAGTGTCTCTGTTGGCCAAACATTAACAGGAGAGTCTACTTATATAAAGGAAGTCCGGAAAAGAATAAGGATAAGTTGGTGCGCCTATAGTAAACATTGTTAGCTTATGACCAGTAACTTACCACTGTCATGCAAACATATTCTAACATATGGTACAGAAACCCAAAGAATAACAAAGAAACTTGAAAAACAAAAGCTAACAGTCATTGTTCATGAGATGAAATAAAAATAATATGCATAACTTTAAAGATAGAAAGTCAACGGAGTGCACCTCATTGGAACAGTGGCTATGGTGCTGCTTGGCTGCTGACAGGAGGGTCACGGGTTCAATCCCTGCAGTGGCGGTCGCATTTCGATGGAGGCGAAATAGAAGAGGCTCATGTACTGTGTGGTTTTGGAGCTCTCCACTACGGCGTCTTTCATAACAATCTCGCGGTTGTGGGACCTAAAAACTCGGATATTAAAAAAAAAAAAGAAAGGAAGTCAACAGAGGGCATCAGAAAACAAATGGGTAGCTGATATCCTGGGAGATATTAAGAGGAAAAGAAATTCGCCTGGGCAGGTAACATAGCGAGAACACAACGGATAATCTGTTAGTGTCAAAATCGATACCATGAGATAGGAAGCATAGCTAAGGATGTCGTAGGGTTATTTGGAGCAACTAAAGTTTGAAAGCATAAAATAGTTTGCTGACATAGTCCAGGGTGGGCACGAGGTCATTGGGAGAGGCCTTCGTACCACTGCATACACAGTACAGGGTGGTGATGATGTTTTATAGCCACATGTTTTGTCATAGAATTTGCAATGTGACACACTGTCATTGCTTTGGTTGGCATTGAAATTGTTATACTCTTTCTTGTCACCATTACCTCACAGCTGCAGTTGTGTTGGATACTTGATAGGCAATTACTTTAATATAAGTATATGATCACTCCATGTGTGTGTGTTTCACCTATATGCCCCATCAACCCACTGCCACATGTCCTGCAAAAGATGGTGTTCTTATTGACATGGTGTGTGGCAGTTTTATTGCATACCCTAGCTTAATGCATCCAGTCTTGTATAGTCTGCAGCACTGCCAAAAAGGTGTCTTTGAGCATGCCTTTACATTCAAGAACATGAGTTTGTATTTCTACGTGGGACACAATAGTATACCTTTGCATTAGCCTGATGCACATGCATGAACGGGTGTTGTCTAATAAATATGCAATGCATGATATTAGACAGCTGGTTCTGCTCATTTATAGGGCGGCATTCAGCATCAGAAGATTGAATACTGACTTTATTAACCAATGCCTAAAATGGAGTCATGAGCTACTGGATTATTAGTTTCAACGAATATTACAGATAAATTCTATCGAATGGGACATCATAGAGTTCATTTTGACACAACTTAGTGTTCAGTTTTTCTTGGACTTACCCTGCTGGCATCTAACATTTTTGCTGCAAGCAGTAATATTTAATAGTGTAGGACAGACTAAGCATTGTTCTATGCATGAAGTTAATGAATCTGCTTAGCTTATGGGGTGTAGAAGGTATCATTCAAATTTATCTGTGACATGCTGCTACTAGGAAACAGTTTCACATTCAAAACTGCCGCTAGCTGGGCTTGCCCAGAAGTATACCAGGGTAAAACTATAGCAGCTGTGTTTTAACCACTGTATTCTGTTATCTTTTGTCTTTCATTTTTTATGTTAGGCCAAGAGGCATGTAGAGTACTTATCTAAAAATAATACTTGTTTGTTTCCACTTGTTCCAGATGTTTCAAGCGGCCGTAGGCTCCCTACGCCCATCACCCACGGACAACTGCTTTTTATACTTGAATCTAGCCATAGTGGCGGCATTGCCAACTAAATGCTCACGTCACAATACACCATCGCATGCTCACTCACTCACCAAACTTGTGAAGAACCTTACAGCTGGAGTGGATGAGTATATTGTGGTAAGTTTTGACAGAAATCACTTTGTCACAGCAGCATGCTATTATGCACATGCCTCAGTATGTGATAATGGAGCAGTCAACTCTACTCATGCAGCACCCATTAAAATTACAATGCATTGTAAAAAAAATAACGATCAGTAAGTGAACTTAGTGTTATAATGGCACTAAGGTTGCTGCTTTGTGGTGACACTCAGAGCTCTACTCAAATGCCATTCTCATCATCCACCGCAATGGCTGGCTGATCCCATTCATAATGTGGGTGAACCGTTACGCTGACAGCTGTTGGCATGAAAGGACAGGGGCCTTGGAAAAGAAGTTGCCACAAAATTGGCCTAGCAGTATATTTCTTAATATGTACAAAAAAAATTATAATAAGACATCGTGTATGTGAAACTAGTACTTGGCATTGTAGAAACCAGCCGCCCTGCTGCGGTGGTCTAGTGGCTAAGGTACTCGGCTGCTGACCAGCAGGTTGTGGCATAGAATCCTGGCTGCGGTGGCTGCATTTTGAATGGAGGCAAAAATGCTGTAGGCCCGTGTGCTCAGATTTGGGTGCATGTTAAAGACAGCCCCAGGTGGTCGAAATTTCCGGAGCCCTCCACTACAGCGTCTCTCATAATCATATGGTGGGTTTGGGATGTTAAACCCCACGTATCAATCATTGTATGAAACCAGCAGATTATGAAGCTAAGAAAGGTACTGTGGGGATTCTTTACAGCTTTCACATGAAGTGTTGTAAGTATGAAATAAAGAAAAATGAAGGTGAAAAGCAGTTATCACTGGTGGGCGTTGACATTGTTCCTCCATAGCGAGGGTCACAACTTGCGAAACATGGTTCTTTAAATAGCATGCAAGGATTTATTGGACAGCTGCCTGTTCCTAAAGAACAGGCACTGTGTCATTATTTAACAGGCAGAATGTTCAGTCTTTGCCACCATGGCCATGAGTGGTCCTGGCTAACACTCTTGCGTTACGTGTGCACAGATGCTTAATAAAGTAGACGAGGGTTTAGTGAGGGAGGTGATAGGCGGCACTGTAGCACAACCGCGTACATAGTGTGGAAGCTGCCGTTTTGGCTTCCACTGAGGTCAAACTGTCTTTGCACTTTTGTTTCTCTTACTGTCCTAATTATAATTACTATGCTGCAGTTGAAATGTTCAAATAGTGTCCCCTATACTTTTCTCAGTTGCATTTTTTGTTGGTGTCACATTGTTGTTAAAAACTGTCGACCGACTCCCCTTCTTGATTTCTTGAGTGTGGCATGCAGTCGGTTTTCGAGAACTATGAGAGCATGCAGCACAGAACAAGGATCTTTTGTAGGTTAGGCAAATCAACACTCATTGGCATGGTGCTCTTCGGTCTTTTTGTTCTTGTGCCAAAACACACCATCACCACCTGGTATGATATGGTGGCTGGGTGTTTCAGAGTTATGTAGTTAGAGAGGTGCTACTCATAAAAAAGTTTCTTAAATATTTAGCCTAGGGCAATAAAATTTTTATTGTTTTTATAGGTTTTTACACCGATTTCAAATATGTATAACCAGTTTTATGGTAAGTTGAATAGTTTTCATTTGGAGCCATGATAATTGGTAAAATATATTAGCTTTTCTGGGCACACTTTTTCTGCCACTCCACTTTCATTTATGAGCCATTATATGCCACGTTAACTGTAGACTGCAAGTAACAAGGAAGTGTGTTAAGGCATTTTAATGAACAAGGAAATTTTAAGAATGCTCACATCACAAGTTTTCTTGTTCGTGAGAGAACGTTCTAATGCAATTGCAGTGTGAGAATTCTTAAAATTTTCAGCTCCATATGAATTGCTTACCTTGAGGGGAAACGCTCTTCAAAAAAACTTGTTTTAATTTCTAGTCATAGACACTTGAAAATATTGTTAATATAGTTTTTCATGAAGATTTCAAATATGCAATCATTTTTTGTGTAGCTGCTATAGTTATTGAGTTACGTCGTGCACAATAGCAAAAAGTTACATGTTTTGCGGGTACTCTTTTATGTACTTAACTTTCAGTAAAAGCATTGTCTCTGATCTTATTTGACTCTTGGTAGATTGTAAAGTGCAAATATCTATCTAGATATGTCATAGAAATATATAAAGAAATAGTATTGAATGACTAATTATTTTCAATCTTCCTTGAAACAATAACCTAATATTTTCACTACTAACTCTAGTAGGCATTGCAATTTTCAGTAGATATTTGCATTCTGCATGTGTTGAAGAATATGCGTGCCAAGTTTCGTTATTATACAATAAGTATAAGTGTTCAAAAGGCTGCCCGGAAAATGTCAAATTGTCAAAAAAAAAAAATGAAGATGAAAAAAACAAGTTTGAAAGTTTGGAAAGTTGGCATTTATTAGAAAACAATTTTTTGCGTCAAATTGGGGCACAATGAAAAGTATCTTGCACTGAATGCTCGGAAGACCGAGAATCGCACAGAATTTTGAAAGTTGGTCATGGCCTGCGCCTATAACGCGTGCTGCCAGAACTGCCTTCAACGTTTACAGCAAAGCTACCACGCGAGCTCCCGCTGTCGAAACGAGCGCTCGTCCCTTGGTTCCTGGCTGAAGTAGTACGTCTCGACGCATGCGTGAATGAAAGTGTTGATTCAGGGCAATGGGTATTTTCACAGCTCAGTTCGAGGAATGCTGAAAGCCCTGTGCACTTTCCAGCTACCTCAGATGCTAAGTTCCCATTCGGGGCAAATTGGGCATTGCGCACCCGTCACAAGGGCAGTCAGCGAATCGATTTCGCAAAGCAACGTGTTGGTAGTATCAGCACCTACCAATCTACGTTCTCTTTCGAAGAATCCGCTCTTCATTTGGGATGTCGCTTTGGGAAGCGTACGACGCTGTTTTCCTCGATACTAGGGGCGAGTTCTGAACTTTCAATTATCTAGACTGCGCTTCTCAGGGCTTGCCGTGATGCAAAACTGCAGAGAAACACCGAACAACTCGATTTCGACGTCTGAGGAAGGATAGGAGGGGGAGGAGGCGGAGCGCACCGCCGACCAATGGCGGCCTCGTGCTGCTTGCCGCGATATTCAAAACGCGTAATGTGTGCGTAGTTTTTCTTGTTTTTGGTTCATTCTTCGTGAAGATACGAGACTGGCTACTAGTGGATTGTGAAGGGGAAGACCTTCGCAGCATGCGTGCACGATTGCAAATGGCAGCCGACGTGTCGTTTTTGCTACAGGATAACGCGAACTATGCCATTTTTGCCGACTTTCGCGCATTTCTCACAACACCACTCCCTACTTCGAAGCATTTTTAGATCATTTCTCGTGGGAATTTCAGCTTGATATTTTCAGAAGTAAAAGATTATAGCCCAAGGATGCCAATACAACAGGGAAAAAAAAAGTGATAATTTTCTGGAAAACCGCGACTTTTCAACCCGCGTCTCCCCTTAAGTTTATAATTATGTAAGTGATATCAGGTTTTGAAGGAGATACTTGCACTATTCACATGCTAAAAAAATATGTGTGAAAAATTTTATCTTGATCTGGCCATCAGAAGTACCAGAAAAAGCATGTCCAAACTCTAGAAGTTGCCCAAAACTGCGTAGAAAGCTCAACTATGTGGCAAAGATATGCTTTTTTAAAAGGATTTGTTCAGTCATAAGGGCTTGACAATTATGGCTATCTTGAGCTTGTGGCTTCGGTGAAATCCTCATGCTAAATGTAGTGGCATGCAGCCAGGTGACGATTTCCTGGGGAGAACCCACTTCAAGTTTAATTACAACCTTGATTGTTTTTGTCATGAAAGTGGAGAAACTGAATTCATGAAAGCAAGTAAAAACAGAAAAATGTTATTTAAAAAGAAACTTGCGTTTTTTGAGTAGCAGCTCCCCTTCAAGTGAACAGTGATCTTATTTTGGCTCTTTGCTATATCTGTACGTGAAATAACTTGAGAGCCTTGGAATGATCGTAATCTTGGGCTATGTGAAAGAAGTAGCATGTTTGTAGGAGGTAGAAAAAATTGATTAGAAATAGCAAACTATGTTTAGCATTTTGTAGAGTATTTTCTGCTTGAGATTTTCAACAGATGTTTTTAGACATATGGCTGTTTAGGTATTTGTAACAAATAACCTCTCTTGGTATGCAGCAAGTGGGATCAGAATCTTTATTGATTTGCATCTGAAAGCATAAAGTGTTGTGTGCACGATGTGGGAGGTACTTGATGAAATCTTGACTTCAGGAATGTTGAAACGGTGTTTCAGTCTAGATATTTATTAGAAATCTTTACGTTTTCTTCTCCTGCTATTTTCAATGGTGGTCACTGCGGGCACTACTTTATGTTGAAGCTTGTGATCAGGGACAATGTATCGTGTGTCAAAAACAGCTACTTTATATATTACACTGTTTGAAACTGGGCTTTTCATGAGGTCAGACATTTCGTTTTTTTTGGTGCCTTATGCCCTCATTCACTGTGGCATGTGTGGGTTCGCTTCACCACATGCACAAAAAAGATATGTTTATTGTTTTATCATAATTGTAATTCATGATAGCCACTATATTTTACAATGAAAGCTGCTATGGGATCACAGAAACAGCCAGTTCTGGTGGCGCGGTTGCCCCCCACCACCGCCACAGTATGGAAGTTATATGCACAGTGAGAAAGAAATGTTCAGGATTGAGCAGGATTGGAACCCAGGATTCAACCATTCTACCACAGAGCCATGCTGGTGCTTAGAACTCCTTTGCAAAAAATTAGGGGGCCCTTATGCTTCACCTTTAAGAGTTGAATGTGGTAGCGATATCCTGTCTCTTGTGTGTACTTCAACCACATAGCGCGAAATATTTAGTGTAAGATGTTACTCGAGAAGGTTAAATTGGGCATTACTACAATGTAATTTGAAAGTGGCCTGGGTCAGACTGTTGGTAAAGCTTTCGCATCTGGCTGCATTTTGTGTAATGGGTAGCATGCTTTGAAGGAGCCCTGAAACACTTTCTGGAGTAACCTTGTAATTATTTCACTGGAAAAGGT